CCAACCCGTCAAACTGGCGATGAATTCCACATGGATCACATTCGTAAAATACACAACGAGAGGTGGATTATAAAAAGGAAAAGCAAGTATGTAATGCTTGGCCACTCAAGCAAAATCAATGAGTCATTTCGATCCTGCTCCGTCAATAGACAAATTCAAGACCCATGACGGCTAGGGTTAGGTTTAGGATGTTGTGGTAGCATTTCGAAAGCGATTGAAGCAACGACGACATACAATGAAGTGAAGTGGATGTATCGATCGAGGTAAGACAACCTCGAAGATGAATGCGTTGACGACAAAACATTCATTTTCATGTTGAGTTCGAGCGAGTGTCGCGGTCGAATGTTTTGTCGTCTTTTTTAGATATGGCCCATGAGTAAGCCGCTGCGAGGGCAGCTAGAACATTATCTCAAGGAAGATTCAGACTAACCACACACCAATTCCTAGGCATTTTTTATGAAGTTTTCAGTGAGAAATTTGTGTTCCTCGCAGCAGATAAACATGTTCAATGCCCGCCGATGAACCAAGATATTATTTTCCTAACTCAGACAATGTTTCCTGCAAAAAAAACTGAAACAATGTTTTGAAACTAGCAAAATCTCAAAGTATCCCTCCACCACGGATAAAGCACCATAAGAATATGAAAACAAAACAATCTTCAGATGGAGACACAACCGACAAATACTAGCTCCATCCCAAAATATTTAGGACGGGGGTAGTGTTTAATACACCACGTATGCTCCAGAAAAAAGCGAGTTGTCCACATACCGAAGGCCGCCGAACCATCCACGAATGGAGTTGCTTAGCCTAGAGCAAGAATGAGTACCAACCCCCATCGTCATGGGATATTCTTATAACGACCACCCCAGTACACCATTTAACCAAGGGAACTACATAATTTGAGTTTTTTTTATGAAATACCCTATATTTAACGAACTTGTTGGCACAATGTGGTATTTTCCAAGAAACGGTCCCCAAACTGACAAGAAAGGCACACCCATCAGGCTGGCGATGTATTCCATGGGCACTACATTCATAAAATACACAACAACTAGTGATGGGGTGGATTATAAAAGGAAAGGAAAAAAAATGTAATGCTTGGCCACCAAAGCCAAATCAACGAGTCGTCTTGATCCCCGCTCGGTCAGGACACAGATGCAAGAACGTGACGGCTAGGGCTAGGGTTAGGGTTAGGGTTAGGATCCCCACTCAATAATGTTTGGCCAATCAAGCCAAATCAATGAGTCATCCCGATCGGTCTCAACCGCTCCATCATGCGATCAATGCAAGATCCATGACGGGCAGTGCTAGGGTTAGGATGATGTGCTAGCGTTTCGAAGATGACTAAAGCGACGATGACAAGCAATGAAGTGAATGGGAATGTACCGGCCTTGACCAAAACGACCTCGGAGGCTCATATGTTGGCGACAAAAGCATTCGACCACGATGACAAAAGCATTACAACCCGCTCTCCGAGCCCATGAGTTTCTTGACTAACCATGCACAAATTCGTAGGCCTTTCCGTGAAGTTATCGGTGAAACATTTCGGTTCCGCGCAACAGATAAACATGTGCAATGCCCATCAATCAACCAAGACATTTTTTTTGTTGAGAAAAGCTAATGCATAGTTTTTGTTTGATAAGACCCTGCCATTGTGTATATGTTTTGTTTCTCGTTGTTGTTGTTGGTACCAAAACGCCTACCAGTCCTATGATCACGTCGCCTCCCTCCACAAACATGTGAGCCACAATAATCAGCCAAAGCGAACCCTACGATGGTCGGCCCAGCCTAGCCTAGCACACCATAATTATCACCTTATTAAGCACAAAATAATAATAATAATCGTACGATACTAGTCAAACTCAAACAGCCGGCCCCACCCTCCTTCTCCCCCCTCGCAAAGCAACCGCCCCAGAAAGCAAGCGACCCGACCCCGCGTGCGCGTAGCGAATTCGCCCCTGGGCAAATGATGTGCAGCAGTCGGCCCGAGAAGGAAAAAGGGCGGAAAGCTACACGCACCCGCCTCCTTGCACCCGCGCTGACACGCGGGGCCGGGAAGCTTCCCGGCCCGCAGGTCAGTTGGCTGAGGCGGCGTGCACGTAGCCCTCCTCCCAGCTGAAAAGAAACCCCCCGTTTATTTCGCGCACCAGCTCGCGGCCAGCCGTAAAGCGACCCACGCCGCTGACGCGTGGGCCTGCGGGTTCTTTCTGGGCCCACGGCGCGCGACCCGCGCTCGCGCTCGTGGCTTTCCGCTCGGAGCACACGGTCCCGTCGCACCCACCCACCGTCCGCGCCGCTGACGGAGCGGCCCCACCTGGCCCGCGTGCCGCGCGGTGTGCGCCGGCCCGCGTGCGCGCAGCGCGGGCCGACCTCCCCGCTCCCGGTCGCGCGTCCCCACCACCCGGCCAATCGCGGGCGGCCACGTGGGAGTGGCCACCGTTGGATCCGGATCGGAGGGCTGGGATGGCGCGGGTGGGCCCCGCGCGACCCGTCAATGGCGGTCACCACGGCCCCGGCCCCGGTCGCACCCCCCGCGAATCTATTTAACCCGGCCGCCCTCGCCCGCCCGCCGGCGACGCCGCCGCCCGCACGCAGCCACCAGAAGCGGAGGAGAAGAAATAAGAACCACGCTAGAATAAAAAGGGGAAAGCAAACGCCAGAATAATATCCCGAGCACGAGACCAACGAGCGGCAGCGTCGCGGAGGAGGACGAACAGCGGCCGGCCACGACCGCGCCGCCGGCGAGCTCGCTCCCGAGGTGAGGATTTCTCCGCACCGCACTCGGTTGGTGATATCTGCGCTGCTGGTAGTACTAGTAGATTGGTTCGACTCATGGCCCGGCCTCAATCCGCACGGCTGCTTCGAGGGGATTCGCGCCCGCGCGCGTTCTTGATGCGGCGGGGGCGAACAGGGGGGATTCTCCGCCGTGGAGACGGCCCAATGCGGCGGCGCCGGGAATTTGGGGCGGAAAAAAAAATCCTCTTCTTGCGCTAGGAAAGGTGTAGAGCCCACCAAAAGCGAGAGCTGGAAAGAGCGTCGAATTTCTCCGAACCCACAAATTCTCTGGATCTTGAGAGGAATACTGCCTCTGATGTTGCTTGAGTTGTTGGGGAGCTCTCAAAGTTTTGCCTTCTCTTTCTCCACCTGTGTAGGTCGGCAGTAGCATCGGTTTGCCTGCAGCTTTTGTACTACGAGCTGGTGTGGAGTTAGTTAGGGGCGAGCTCTGTCATGGCACAATGCGGCGTGGAACCGATTTTGGGGAACCATCAGGGCGAAATAATCAATCACCTCTAAGAAAGCCGCGGCACAAGTTAACGCGCAGTATCCAATTTGTGTTGTTGCAGAAATTTGCTCACCCCCCTTCAATGAATCTTTGAATTCCCCTGTGACTGATGACCACCTTAAAATATAATTCATCTCCTTTTTGTATTTTTTTTTGTCTTTTTCTTGGTGAGGTAGATCTTCTTATTCCCATTACTTTGACCTCCTCTCCAGCTTCTTAGGTTAGGCGGTCTATCTGCTGTGCCCTGTTTTTGTTAGGTTTTGAAGCAGTTTTTGTTTATCATCAGGGTTTCTTGTTTTAGTTGCAGTCCTCCATAGTCTGTAATTAAATATTCCAAACCAAGTGGCAGTTGATGATGCAAGGTTGTATTTTTTCTTCTAACTGAATTTTTTTTCGGGTATCTTCTAACTGAATTAGGTGGGTTTGTGTACCTGTGATTTTCTTTTACGTTACATTAGAGGGAGCCACGCCACTGACACGTGGGCCCACGGGTTCTCTCTTGTTCGGTCCGTGTCGCGCGAGCTCATGTAGCTTCCTCCCTTGGAGTTACCGACATCTGGGCCCCACCTGGCGTGGGGTGTGGCGATTTCGAGAAAGAAATTAACCAATTTTTGGGAACCAACAGGGGAAAATAAATCAATCACCTCTAAGAAAGCTGCGGCAGAAGTTAACACTCGTATCCAAATTGTGTTATTGTGGAATATTTCACTGTAACCGATGACCACCTTAAAAAATGACAGCTTGTTTCTGCATTGAAGGATACAATTTGTCTCCTTTCTGTATTTTTTTTCTTTTCCTTGGCGAGTTAAATCTTTTTATTCATTACATTGACCTTCTCTTCCAGTTTCTGAGGTTAGGCAGTCTATCTGCTGTGTCCTCTTTTAGTTAGGTTTTGAAGCAGTTTTTGTTTATCATCAGGGTTTCTTGTTTTAGTCGCAGTCCTTCATAGTCTTCTGTAGTTAAATATCCAAACAAAGTGGCAGGTGATCATGCAAGATTGTATTTTCTTCTAATTGAACTAGGTGTGTTTGTGTTCCTGTGATTTTCTCTTACCTTCTCTTTTTTACTGTTTGGTTTGTGATATCTTGCAAGCTTGCATGAGACTGTACATCGCTCAACTTTTCTCACTACCAGCTCCCTTTGTCTTGTGCTTTCCTTTTGTCAGGGTGAATAGAAAGCAACTCTCTTTGCTGTTAGGAACTTGATCATGCGAGCGTGTAGTTGCAATTTGCATTGATTGTATTATGTGCTAGTTAGTAATTCAAATGAAATATCCTGTCTCGGTCAACTTCTCTTGCCCTGTTTCCTCTCTATTTGTGTTCTTTCTGGCTTCTTTTACGTTGGCCATATAACCTGTATTCTTTTTGGAAGATAAGTCGATGTATGTATTTCGTCTCTTAGATTGGATTAACACTTGCCTTTTGATGATGGCTATTTTTATCATTGATGTCCTGAAACGGGTCCTCCTAATTTTGAGACTTAGAAGTTAGTAACTTTGAATTATGCATCCTGGCTGTTGGTTCATAAGCTCATTGGCTGAGAAATTTTGTGGTGACTGTTTTCTTGATTTGCTTGCATTACTTCAAAATTACTGATAATTACACTTTGCAGTTTCCAGCGAAAGTATCCGAAGATCCTTGCTAGTTTCCAGGGACGTTCTAGCCCATTAAGCAAGATTCTTCAAGGTGATGGTTCAGTCTCAACCCTGCTGACCTCCATGTCCGGGGCCCCACGCTCCAACCTTGGACTTGTTCCCAGGGACATGAATGGTAGCCTTCCAGTTAGTACTACAAATTCCTCTGGGCCAAGCATTGGTGTTAGCTCTTTGGTGACCGATGGCAACTCATCACTTTCTGGAGGTGCCCAGTTTCAGCAAAGTACGAGCATGAATGCTGATTCATTCATGCGCCTTCCTGCCTCTCCGATGTCGTTTTCGTCCAATAACATTTCTGGCTCTTCAGTCATTGATGGCTCCATCATGCAGCAAAGTCCACCCCAAGAGCAGATGCAGAAGCGGAGAGCATCTAGTGTAACATCACAACCTGTGATTGATGCTGCCGCCGCATTTCATGCTCAAAAGAAGCCAAGAGTTGATATTCAGCAAGATGATATCTTGCAACAACAGTTGATTCAACAGCTGCTCCAAGGTCAGAGTTCTCTTCATCTCCAGGGCCAACATAACCCACAGCTTCAAGCCTTGATCCGGCAGCACAAACTGGCACAAATTCAGCAACAACAGCAGCATCAGTTATCGCAACAATTTCCTCAGCATCAACATTCTCAAGTTGGCATACCTCGGCAGCCACAGTTGAGGCCGCCGCCAGCACAGCCTGGAATTCAGCTAGCTGGACCTGTTAGGACTCCCGTTGAGAGTGGGCTTTGTTCTCGAAGGTTAATGCAGTATTTGTATCACAAGCGTTACCGGCCAGATGTGAGTTTCTGTATTTTCATACATTTATTACAAGGTACACAACAATGGAAGTACAATTTACTCAAAATTTTCTTGTAGAATAATCCCATAACATACTGGAGGAAGCTCATTGATGAATATTTTGCACCACGATCAAGAGAGAGATGGTGTGTGTCATCATATGAAAAACCAGGGAATACCTCAGCTGCTATTCCACAGACATCCCCGGTTAGTAAAAATTTCATATCTGAAATTATGTTGAATAAATGTTTATATAGTATCATACACCATCTTTTTAAAGTTCTGCTAGGATTATTCAACAATCAACACTGTTTATTATCAATTACCTTTGATGGCAGTGAGAAACATAATTTGTATGTGTAGCCTCTTGAGGAAATATTTGTTGTTTTAGCCTGCACTAGTTATTTTAATTGAAACTTTGAAACCGTCCTGCAATGGCTATTTTAATTGTATATATCTATTTTGTGTAATAAACCCACTGATAGCTGATAAAGCTGATTCTTTGTCTGCTCTGCATGCATGGTCGATATCCAGGGTACTTATTCCTTGATGTTGTATAAGATCTATGAAATTTCACACTCCTATTCTTTCCTTGTTACAGGGTACATGGCGTTGTGATATTTGTAATACACATTCGGGGAAAGGATATGGTAAAATGTTATATCCTTGATTGTTTGCACATTTCCCTTCAAGATTGCTCACTGAGTATGAATGCTCATTTGTTTGTGCTTATTCTGTTATTCCTCTATTTGCCAAGTTCAATATTTTTGTACATGTCTTGTGCTTTACAGAAGACAATCAACAGTATTACTTTCTAAGGAAGCCATTAAACCATTAAGCATCAAGAGTGCAAATAAATGTAGCTTTACAGAATTCTAAGGAAGCCATTAAACCATTAAGCATCAAGAGTGCAAATAAATGTAGCTTTACAGAATTCTAAGGAAGCCATTAAGTATCAAGAGTGCAAATAAAAGTATCTTGTGAATTTGTTAACTCTCTGGAGCAGTACTCAATACCTTATCATAATAGTGTGTTACTGTCATGAATGAAGAATAGCCTCATAGTGTTGGCATTTTATTTCTTCCACAGCAAAGCCTTCTTTCTGTTATCATGCGCTTTGCCCCTCCTGTTTTTTAGATGAACACCTTGACTTCCTGTTTTTGGGACTCTTTCTGTTTTGCCTCTTCATTGTGCAATTCTCATAAATAGGATTTTAAGTTCTCCTCTGCAATTTAATATCAATATGTATTATTTTTGAGCTCACCCAATTTCCCCCCTTTCTCTTATCTACTATACAGAGGCTACCTCTGAAATACTTCCTAGACTCTGTCAAGTTAGATTTGACCACGGTGTTAAGGATGAATATCTATTCCTTGACATGCCGAACGAGTTCCGGTTGCCCAACGGACTGCTGCTCCTGGAGCATACTAAAGTTGTTCAGAAGAGCATCTACGATCACCAACATGTCACACATGAGGGACAACTGAGAATAATATTCACTCCAGAACTAAAGGTATGTTCCTAGTTATAGTAGCTAGCCCATACCAGAGCACCTTTTGGGTGTCCTTTCTTGAACATTTGTGGATTTGTGGATATCTCGAAATGTGAATCATTCTTATGTGCTGAATTGCATATGCAGATTATGTCCTGGGAGTTTTGTTCACGGAAACACGACGAGTATGTCACTCGCAAGTTTTTAACAGAGCAGGTAAAGCTCTTAGACCAGTATGGGATTCCTGTTCCATCTCCAATTTGATTAACCTTTGGTTCAAAGGCATATGGTTGAGCTGTCGCCTACATATACACAGTGTGATTTGATGCCTGGCATCTTGTAGTTTTGTGTTTATGACGTAAATCTAATGGGCATTGCTTCTCCTGGGTGATTGGGGTGTGAAAAGACCAGATCCCTCCCACGGTTACTATGTTCATCACCCATTTGCTTATAACTGTCTACTCAACTAAGTTACAGATAGCTGCAGGCGGAAACACCAAAGACGATTAAATTATACTCCACCTTTAGAGTAGGCCATAATTCATTGCAATCCTCATGTTTGCCATAGCACCTTCCAAAATTACTTGCTACAAGTAGGGACATCTCTAAACCATCTCTGCCATCTTGTTTTGTGGTTCTAAATCACTATGATTATTTTACGGTTTTGCAATTTGAAAGCTTCCTGTCTTTTTCATAAATTTTTCTTCCAAATGGATTTATTTTTTACTTTGTAGGAAGTGGTAAAGCACAGGCATTCAACCAGTCCACATAATTATAAATCTTAATCTGTGGCTTTGTGAGATGTGCTTTAACTTTAGTACCCTTCTATATATTTCTTATGCACCTGCTTTTTGTTTTTTCAGGTTACACATATGCTGCGTGCTACCCAGAGTTATCAAGCTACTGTCACTAAAAATGGACCTGCTGGCCTATCGAACGATGAGGCACAAAAGGCTTGCAACGAGTTAGTAAAACTAAAGTCACACAAATATGTAGTTGATTCTCTCTAGAGTTGAATTTCTGATATTCTAATCACTACATGTAAATTCTTTTTTTGTATGAAATTTATAGGTTTGCATCAGCATCACGTCAACTAGCGAAAAATATTGATCACCACAGCCTAAATGAACATGGTCTTTCTAAAAGATATGTTCGCTGTTTGCAGGTAACTGGAGTTCCCTAAGTAGTATTTACCTTCCTATTTGTTCAATATTTTGTAGTCTTGATATTTTCCACATGGCGTGCATTATATGGTTTTATTCTGTATATGTGCATTATGGCACGTTGATTTCTTATGTCCTCTTGGCAGATATCAGAGGTGGTGAATCACATGAAGGATCTAATTGAGTTCAGCCACAAGAACAAGCTCGGCCCTATAGGTAGGAGCATGCACATACACCAATCGTCTTTAGTACCTACTAGGTGTTGTATTTAGTTTCCATAAAACAGTTTTGATTAGTGATTCTCATGAATATGGTAGAACTAAGCATAGCATTTTGGTTTCTTCCAAAAAGTTAAGCCATAATGCATGATCTATTGTATTACCTCCATACCAAAATATAAACATTTGTGTAGGCTAGCCTACAAACATGTTTATATTTTGGTACGGATTTAGTACTTCATAAGAAACATCTACATGAATAGAAACTATGTTCAAACTCCAGCTGAGCCAAAAACTCAGCTAATATCATGCAAATTTGGTTGTAATCCAATGTCTGAACTAGTGAGAGATGCGGACTGTGAGCTTGAACATGTACAAATTGGTTGTGATGCAAACAGTGTGGAGCTAAACATCGTATGCCACCTTTAGGGCTTCATCATATTTGCTGCTGATAACAGCAAATCATAACAACTGAAACATTTGTGATGATAGTGACCCTGCTTTGCCCATTGATCCGTGAGATAGTTTAAATGTTTACTATTTTGCCTGTTCATCTGCAGAGGGCCTGAAGAACTATCCCAAGCAAACTGCTGGACCAAAGCTCACGGTGCAGAATTTGCATGACTCAAAGGCAGTCAAAACAGAAATGAGCCCCCATGTGAATAACGAGGTTCCAGGTGTTGGAGCAATTAGTAATAATCCGCAGAATCCTGCAGCACAAAGCAATTACCAACATATGCTGAGAAGCTCAAGTGCAAATCAGGGTTTGCTGCAGCAGGAGGCATCACAGAATGCTGCCGGAATGAACAGTTACCAGAATATGTTCAGAAGCTCAAGCGCAAATCAGGGTTTGCTCCAGCAGGAGGCATCTCAGAATGCTGCTGCGCTAAATAATTACCAGAATATGCTTAGAGGCTCGAGCCCAAATCAAAGTTTGCTTCAGCAGGAGGCATCGAGTATCTTCAAAGGTCCTACAGCAGTGCACAGTGGCATTCAGCTGGAAGCATCTAGATCGTTCCGTGCGTCTCAGCTTGGGCAATTCCAGCATCCCATGTCATTCCAGCAAGGTATGCCCCAGCACCAGCATAACAGTTTCCAAGGCCTGGGTGCTAGTCCACAATTCCAGCAGCATGTGATCAATCAGCTGCTGCAAGAAGCCAAGAATACCAATAGTCGCGCTCTTGCTCATCAGCAACACCATCAGCAGCAGCAGCAGCAACACCATCAGCAGCAGCAGCAACACCATCAGCAGCAGCAGCAACAACATCAACAGCCGCAGCAGCAGCAGCAGCAACATCAACAGCCGCAGCAGCAGCAGCAACATCAACAGCCGCAGCAGCAGCAACATCAACAGCCGCAGCAGCAGCAGCAGCAACATCAACAGCCGCAGCAGCAGTCTCCTAGCACTCCCAATGCAAATGGTGGTCTCGCATCCGGAGCCGCGGTCACCAACAGCGCTGCTAGCGCAGAGCAGGCACAGCACATGAATAACGGCACAGCAAAGGGCGCCGCTCCGATGGGTATGACGGGGCCTAGTAATCTGATCAACAGCGGAGCTGGCATGGTCCAGCGAAGCAGCAGTTTCAAGTCAGTGAGCAGCAACCCGGCCGCTTCTGGCGGCAATGCGGCGGCGACCCCAAAGGCGGAGTCTGTGCACGACATGGACGACCTGGAACATCTCATCTCCCACGAACTCGTGGAGAGCGGGCTGTTCATGGGGGAGCAGCCGGGAGACGGCGGCTTCTCGTGGAACATCTGACATCATTGTCAACTAGAGTCTCCCTACTCTGAGAGCTGTGCTTGATGGTGATATCGCGGTAGATTATTAAAAGTTTTTCTTCTTTTTTCGAGCTCTTTTTCGCTGCCTGGAACAGTCTCTGGTGATCATAGATTGGTGAACCTTCAGTTATGTGAGAGTGAGTTGGTTTGGATAGCAGTGCAACCCAGTGTTATTAACTAGTATGGAATGACATGCTGTGGTTGTCATTTGTGCCAGTGTTATCTTCTTACCAGTGTTTGGCCTGCCATCTGTTCTTAAACCCATCATATATCCATGAGAGGTGTAGCAACTAGTATTGCAGAACTACACTACTACAGTAGTAGCAGGCATACTCATGACCATGGCATGAAAACCTTGATAATATTATAAGCTTGTGAAGCATCAGGACAACTTGTGCATGCCAAATATCACAGTGAGGACAGTATATTTTTTTCCAACTAAAAGCTGATGTGTTTCTTCTTCTGCCCATTCTCTTCTTTGAAAATGAAAGACTTTATTGCTTTTTTTTCTTCTTCTTTTGTGATTTGTGATATGGCATGCTAGGAGGAAGCACAGACTTCATATTTGCAGAAAGGACAGGTCTGTTTCACAAATGAAAAAAAAGCATGTGAAATAATCGTTTGTGAAGTTTACTGTGAATGAATTATAGTTATATATGATGTTATAGGTCGCTGTCAACATGAAAAATATATTATGTTTGAACCCTTATGATGCGATTTCCGTTATTACTTGACTGTAGTTGGTTATCCATTTCACAATCAGTTGTTTCTCCTTTATTTTGCAAGAAGGAGAAAAGCTCGCGTCTATGTCACAAAAATCATGTGTAACAGAAAATGTCAAAATCAAAAGCCGCGAATTCACAAAATAGCACGTATCTACCCTGCACCGGCAGAAACACACACGCACATGCACACAAAACTATGGGTTTCTTGCAAAAAACGAGAAGAAGCAAAGTTACTAGGGAAATGCTAATGGTCTACCGGCTGATTGCGTGGAGGCCACTCGCGCAGCCGTTGGATCGCTTTGATCCATGCGTTGTCACGCACGCTAGCACACAGTCCGTTATTTCCCTTGCCTATCATGTACCCTTTACCTTTTCTTGCAACAGCAGCGGTGTTGCAAATCATAGCGGCAGACGACCACTACAACTTAGACAAGCTATGCAACATCAGCTCTGTTGTAAAAAAAGAAAAACTGCAACCAAATCTCTGTTGGAAAACAATCTACGACAAGAACTCTGTTGCAAAAAAAAATAATCCCGCAACACAACCTATTTGCAAAAAAAATATTCTGCAACTTTACCTTTGTTGCAAATGTTTCTGCAACAAAACCTTTGTTGCGAAGTAGTGGGAGACGTTGAGCCACTGAATTGTGCGACTCGCGAGGCGGCGGATCTTTTGAAAAAACCCGCCGGCCGACGCGTAGCGGCCCCCAAGTTATTATGAGAAAAGAGCAATATTTGTTTTATCCTTTGATTGAAGAAATACAGAGAGGTCACAGCTTGTTGGGCCTGAATTTACCCGGCCGTGTCCAGCAAGGCCCGCAATAGGCGCACATGGACATGGGCTCCCAGTAGCCAGGCCAGGAGATACAGATGCGAGCTGCCTCAAAAAGTAAAAAAAGAAAAAAAAAAGACGCGAGCTGCCTCGTCCTCTTCTTACCCGACCCCCAAATCTGACACAGCGCCGGCCACCCCGCCGGAATCCGGCTCCACCAGTCGGCCCCCTCCAAGCCGCGGTTCACTCGCCGATCCATTGCGGTGACGCCGGCAGCGGAGGTCGCCGGGGACAGGAGACGACGAGGGGGATGGAGGCCGCCTTACTGGATCCCCTCGGTGGCCACGCGCGACCTGCGGAGCGACGGGAGGCGCCGGCGTCGACCGTGCACTGTGGTAGGAGGATGCCGTGCTGCGGCTGGTACATGTTTAGTCCCATATCGCCAGTTTACCGGCGTTTCCGCCGTTTTGTGAAGCTCGACGTTGGCGAGGCTATCACCAAGTAGAGCAGCAGTAGAGAGTAGAGAGTACGAGTAGTGTGTACGGTAGAGGTATATAGGAGGGGTTCAAAATTTTCTTTTTCAGGAAGCTATTTTTGTTTGACAGCCACAGCCTAGAACAGATAACAGAGCAACTACACATAGTAGTGTGTACGGTAGAGGTATATGATAGGATATGTGCGTACGGGGGGCTAGTTGTGTTACAGGGGCCCAGGAGCATTTGTGGATTTCTGGATGTTACACATGAGGGCCGAATGATGATAATTTTATCTGCTGATCGCATATGCAGAATATCTCCTGGGAGGGGAGGTCTGTTCTTCACGACGACATGATAAGTATAGTATATGACTCACAAGTTTCTAACAGAACCAGGTAGGAGTTCTTAGGCTTCGGCCAGTGCGCGTGCGCGTGCATCCTGTTTCAATTCCTATCCAATTTGATTCCTGGCATTTTCTAGTTAGGTTGTGTGTATTGGAGTACATGACATAAATCTAGCGGGCATTGCTGATCCTGGGTAAATTGCGGTGTGAAATAACCGGTGCCCCCTCTCATGGTTATTTTGTTTGTCATCCATTTGCTGATCTATGCGTTGAACTAAAGTTACAGATAGCCGCAGAAGCTGCAGATTGAGTACACCAGAGCCAATTAAATTGTAGGCCATAATCCCTCATGTTTACCGTAACACCACCTCCGTCCCTTTAAAGTCCTTTGCCGATGAGTGGGCCCATCTCTCCATGATCTCCACCGTCTTTTTCTGTGGTATAGTGCCCTAGCCTTGTTCTGATGCAGTATCACTAGATTTTGCAACCTTCTGTCTGTCTTTTGTTGCCATGTATGTTACTTGGATACAGTTTCTAACAATGTAGCTTCTGTTTGAACAAAAAAAATAGCATTCCATATCATCACAGCTAATTGTTTTCCACCAATTTTGATTCAGGCAATGGTGAAGATGCTGCTGCTGCAGATGATGACTCCTGGTGTGATGCTTCAGATTCTACAGGACATGATTCCAGCTTACACAGAGAATGGACCCACAGGCAGGACCAGTTTCATAAGGTACGTGAATATTTTGACTTCAATTTGATACAGAGTTTGTGTGATGTCATGAATCATGAATTTGTGTGATGTCCAAAAAGTTTGAAAGTAAGGCTTTTGGTTTCTTTGTAGATGGGCTATAGGGATGGTATAACAGAAGGGCAGAAGGATGCTGCCCAAGAGGGGTTCAACCTTGGGCATAGGCAGTCTGCGGATGTTGGATACAAGTGGGGTCTTGTTCGGGGGATTACTAGGTAAATTGCATTTCTGGTTGCGTGAACAACAGTTTTCTCGTATAAAGTTCCTCTTGTGTCATTCTCATTTATTATATTTTCGTTTTGTTGTCCTTCAAGCAGTGCATTTGCTAGTCTTTCCGACAGTCTTAAAGAAAAGTGGCTGCTCGACGCCCAGCGTAGAGGAAAACTTGAAGATTTGCACAACTTCGTGCAAGAAATTTCAGCACAGGGTGCTCTGCAGTTGTTTCACGAGAGTACTCTTAAGAATAATCTTCGACCAGAGGAGAGCAAGCTCCAAACAATTACAAAGGACCTTCTCCTGTTGTTGCACGAATGCCCAGATGTTCATGTTAGTGAAGAGTTGAAACGAGTTCCATAAGCAAGGTCATACATGAAATTGCAGGCACCACTGATTTTGAAGTCTGATAGAATCACCCACACCTAGTCTTCTGAAGGATGTAACAGTAAATTCTGTGATACTAAGATTTTCTTTATGGTGTCACCCTTTCTTTGCTAGAATCATATCTTTCTTCCTGAGTTTTGCATCTTCTTGTTATTCCTTTACCATGCTCTGGTTTACTTGAGCATTCCTGAGTATTGGTATTATATTGATTTGATCCATTGTGATGTTCTTGGGACAGTCTGGATACTTGTTACACTCAGTGCAGACATCACTAGATATTTTATTTTTGCTAATTAAGTTTTCAAACATTCTGGCATTTCGCAATACTGACAATTCGGTATCTACAGTTAAGAATGCAAATGCAGTAGTAGATATTTGATGAAACCTCTCATCTCATTTGTTTTTCATATAAAAAAAGGAGCAACTACCCATATTTTTTTTTCTGTTTGATTAACACTTGGTTCAAAGGCTGCACATGGTTCTTTTAGCTGTTTACTACATATACACAGTGTGCTTTGATTCCTGGCATTTTCTAGTTAAGTTGTGTATATTGCTGATCATTGGCAATTGGGGTGTGTAACAACCAATCCCCCTCTGGTTGTTATTTTGTTTATCATCCATTTGCTGATCTACGCACTGAAACTGAAGTTACAGATAGCTTCAGTCTTCAGATGCAGAACACCAAAGCTGATTAAATTGTAGACCATAATTCATTGCAGTCCTCATGTTTACCATAGCACCTTCTTTCAAACTCACTTGCTGACAAGTGGGCCCATCTCTCCACGATCCCCACCGTCTTTTTTATTTCTGTGGTTCTAAAAATGTAGCTTTATTGTAGTTATGCCATAGCAACCCTGCTTTGTCCAGATGATCTGTTTATCCTTTGGTTAATATTTTGCCAAGTCAAACTTTAAATGTTTAATATTTTGCCTGTTCATCTGCAGAGGGCCTGAAGAACTATCCCAAGCAGACTGGATTTTCATGGAACATGTGACAGACTGTGTTATCGCCGACCTAAGTTTGACTCCAATGGCGGAGTCTGTACACGGCATGGACGATCTCGACCATCTCATCACCCATGAACTCTCAGAGAGCAGGCTGTTCATGCGTGGAACATGTGACAAACCACATTGGTGCCAACCTATGTTTGACTACTCCAAGAGTTATGATTGATTGGAAATTGCCATTAGATTACTACATGTTTTTCTTTTTCTTTCCTATATCTTGTTTCGCTGGAACATTCTAGTGATCATATATCGGTGAAACCTTCGGTTACCTTAGAGAGTGTGAGTTGGCTTTGATAGCAGTTCAACCCTGTAGTATTAACTTAACCTACAATGACATGCTGTGGTTTTTATTTGTGCTGCTGGAACTGATCTTAGACTGATGAAACATTCAGATACCTTTGTTATTATCATGTGTGACTTGAGTGGCCTGTCATCATAAGTAGTATCATATCCAAGAGAGGTGTAGCATCACAGCACCACAATAGCAGGTACAAACATGACAAGGACAGAAAAATATAAGTTTCTGAACCATCAGGACACTTGCACATGCCAAAAATTACAGTGGGGTAGACACCCTTTGGGACAGTAAACTGAAACTAAAAATCTATATTTTTTCCTTTTCTTTCCTTTTGACAGTGAAATCCAACTAAATATCTGCTTTTGAACTTAAACTAAAATAAAATCTGTTTTTTGTGTGCCTTTTCCTTCCTTTTGACAGTGAAATCAAACTAAAATTCTGTTTTTTTTATCTTTTCTTTCTTTTGTACTGAATGAGTAGGCGTAGCAAGCGAGCGCCGCGATGACGCGTCGCCGCCTTGTGAGCTTCGATTGGCTGCTGATGACATGCTAGGAGGGCCCAAACACTTCATACTTGCAAACTGGGCAGGTCTGTTTCACAAAACAGTTGAGCACATATCAGCAACTGCACTTTTGCACAAAGCCATGACTTTTTTCCAACCTTCGGCAAAAGGTGAAAAGGGAAGCAATTTTTAACACTCACCCTGTTGATCTTGAGCCAGTTGCTAATGCAACTTGCGTGGTAATTATGTTTGCAGGGCAGGGTTATGATGTTCTCCCGGTTTCTGAAAGCAGACAGGCACACAGTACAAGTGCTGCATCCATTGGTTGAAGAAACAGAGAGATTCATCAGTGACAAAGAGAGATTTACTGCCAAAAGATTAACTAATTTCCAGCAATACACTAGTGATTAATTATCATCAGTAAGGATTTCATATTTGATTGAGAAGGTTCTGGACTCACTCATCATGGTTTGTCTTCCTTGAGAAGAACCCTGATCCTGACCTGTACTTCCATGGCACCAAGTATGACAGGAGCTCATCAGATAAACCTCTGCTCTCATTTCCCACTGATTCCACCAGTTCCTGCCTTTCCTGGAATTTTTTTGCAGAAAAAAGGGACTGGAATCAGCAAACAAATTTTCTGACGAAACAACCAACCGCGGCATGCTATTTATTGACAAAGAAATCTCGCGTTCCAAACGGGGCCTTTACGGGTAACAGAAAAAGAAACTGTGGGACATTCATTGAAGACAAACCTCATATGTCATGTTGTCTGGATCAACATCGTCGTTGGTGTCGTCGTTGTCATCATCATCATCCTGCCTAGTAGTCTGCAAACCGGTCTTGGAATTTTTAGTTTGATGCAAGCTGCAGATAACTAGCTTAACAAGCAAGCAACTACAAATATTGGTTCCTATAATAAATCACCTCCTCTTCGTCGCCGCGGTCATCGTCATCATCGGTGTCAGATGGGGAAGGCACACAGCTTATATCTGAATTTAAGCCACACAAGACACCAATATATCAGATGATGATCAGCAAACATCGTGTGCCTTGGCTGAACTGAATCAAAAGCATCGCATACCGTCTTGTTCGTCGTCGTTGGGAGGCGTGTCCACATCCAGATCTTCCATCTCCTGCAGCATCCTGGCGTATTTGAGGTCAGCTGCGATCTGTTCATCTGAAGTTCCTGAGGTTTCTGCTGCTGTGCCACGGCTGCTCTCCCCATGGCAGCAATGCATGCTCCAGGATGCACCAGGGGCCCCTGTGCCGAAGGATTGGTGCAGGCCCTCCTAAGAAAACAAATGAGAACTGTTACTTAAAAAAAAGGTTTCAGTTGACCACAGAATTTTTCTTGAAAAGTGCAGATGCTAATATGAAGCGTACCTGGTGTTGAAGAACATCACCGATCACATACTCGAGGAAGTCATCGTGGTTGGCATCGTCCCCGGCGGTGCTGCTGTAGTGCACGGTGATCCTCCGAAAGGCGCCAGGCGGCCCGACGGTGGCCATGGCCGCCGGCGTCAGGCAGCAACCACCGGTTAGTTACCTACAACAACCTCCAGTGTTAGTTGGGATCAAAGATAGTTTCTGATTAAGAAGCAGGTTCATTCCAACCTCCTTGATGGAGCATGACAATTCTGCTTCCAAAAAAGGAAAGAAAAAGAATTCTCTGTCTCTTTCTTTAGAACAAGCAAAAGAAGTAGCAGTAATAATTTCTGAGGAGGATCTTTCGTTCGGAAGACCGAAGGCGCAGAGCGGAAGCGAAGCGCAGAGCTCCGTTGCGATGAAGAGGAGAAAAGGGAGGAAGGGGGAAGAATCATGAACAGGAGGATTGGTTGGAAGAGATGCTTACTTTTTTCTCCGTTTCTTCAGAGCCTGATGATGATCTCCCTTTCCTGCTCTTCTCCTGTGTTCTCTTCTCTTCTCCCAGCTGAGCTCTCACCTTCTCAAGGTTGGATGGTTGGGTGCTTTGTTAATGAGGGGGTGGTTGGTTGGTTAGCTGCCTCCAAAGTGCTTACTTATATATACGCGGACCGCCCGCTCTCGCCGTCTCTGTTTTTTCTAGAAAAAAGAGCTGTGGAGGAGGCCCCGACGGTATATAAATTTATGAACAAATTATAAATATATGCAAAGGGAGAGGCGCGGGAAATGTACAAAATGTGTAGAGGGAGAAAGAGGCTAGGCCTAAAGATAATCCTCCTGTCTCTGTTCACTGCATACCCCAACTGAACTAACTGTTGAGGAGCTTTCATCTCAGATTTTATGATCTGCCTTTATTTTTTCTTCCTCCTTCCTTTCTTTTTACCTCTACATATGTTAACCACATTCTTTTTTATAAACATATGCACTAGGAATTCCTGGTATTTCCCATCAATGAAAAAACTAATTATAGATTAACACATGTATTAGGTCAGAAAGAGATCTGACTTAGGCCTGAAGATATCCTGTCCCTATCCTTCACAGGTGGCAAGCAAGAGGTTCACTGCATACTCCAACTGAACTAAATTATAGTGTTCAACTCAGGATTGTCTTGTTAACCAGTTGTTATGCATGATACTTGCGCTTAAGGTCATGCCGGTTCCAGTTGTGAACAGCTGCATGATCACAACTGGCTTATCCTGACCTCACTTCGATGACTTGGCACGGCTGCGTCATCAGGCGGGTCGTCGACGTCGCTGTTCGTTGCAGCACCGGCGTCGACTCCAAAGTCTCCTCTCCTGACTGTAATGATCATCATCCACCACATGCTGCTTAATTTTGAGGCTTTATTATTTGTTTAGTTTAGCGGTAGTTGTGGCTCCTGTTGTTGTTAACTAGACGCGTCACATGGGGCTGAATTCAGACAGAGATTTTATGCTCTTGGGATCATAATAAAAACCGCCTGTAGCTTCCTTGGAACTGCAAAATAATGGCAATAATGCAGACAACCCTCTGAATCTAGGAGCATGTTCATGGACCTGCATCTGACCACATATTTTTATCCTCTTATATGAGACAGTATAGAACAACACCGTAATATACGGTTCCTAATTACATGATTAGCTCCATCCAGGTCATGTGCAAACACACTTGGTTAAGAAGTTTGCTATGTTCAATGCTGATCTGCCACTGGGTGCTACAAGTGTATGGAGAATCTTGACAGGTTCAAACCAGAGACTGACATGATTATTAACACACATGATTAGGTAGCTATCCCTTTCGCGGCCCCTCCCTCGCCCAATCAGCACCGGTCTTATGTGGCTAAGAGCACCGACCACGCAACCGATTTCGACATCTCGTGTCAAAGAAATCTTTGTGGGACAGATTTTCTGAGTAGTGTTGATCTCAACTTCTCAAGTGTCGACACCGGAAGATTGGGTGCCAAGAAAAATGGCAAGGACTTGGGGCTCAGGGTCAACAGTTAAGTAATGGTGATGAGTGATGGAGGATGCCAATCTGATTCAGCTATGCTCCTAATACAAGTGGTAAGAGGCAAGATGTATGAGATCATAGCTACCTGCTGATGTGCATAGCCTAGTATTATATGGGCAGTGAGGATGTCAAGCTGATTAGGCTCCTTGTGTTCCTAGTTCAAGCTGAGAGAAAGCATGCAAGATCTGTGAGATCATGGGTAATGGCTGATGTATATACTACTATTATGTGGACACTGAGGATGTCAAGCTGATTCAGCTTCTTGTGTTCCTAATTCATGGTTTTTTTTAGTGGTTTTCCAAATTCAAGTTGAGAGAAGCAAGATCTATGAGATCATAGCTGATAGGTGATTTATGTGGCCTACTATTATAAATGTGGACAGTCAGATGTCATATTCTATCATAAAATCAGGGGCCTCCTTATCTCCTTCTCCCTCAATTTTTCATCAACACAGTCTATCTGATCTGGATCTGGTTTCAAAATGGCAGGTAAGTAGACAGCATTATCCCAGTATATATAGAGGAAGAACAGAACTTCTGTTCCACCCCGCCAAAAAGAAAAAAAAGACAGAACTTCTATTAGTGGCACAAGCAAAAAATAAAAGCAAAAACTGACGTAGGGAGCGCGACATATCGTATCGGGTGCCTTGCGATTCGCTGCTTCGGTTCCTACGTGATGTGAAAATGACCTGAATGTAATTTCTTCTTTCCGGTCACTTTTGCTTGTCTATCTGAATCCTCAGCATTGACCGGTGTGTGCTCTGGGTTCTGGACTGTGTCCTCTCCTGTCTATGCACAGTCAGTTCATTTTCAGTTGCTTATCGTGCCATCCTTGTTTTCAGGTGGCGAATTCGCCATTTCGAGGATGAAATGAAATGCACCTTTCTTGGGATGAACTTATCTTTGTTTGCGATCTTCCTGGTGGTCCAGATTCTACCAGCGGCTCCTCTTCTTCTTCTTCTTCTTTCTTCTACCTCCTGCTCCTGTTGCCTCCGCCGTCGTTTTCGCGTCGTCCCCGTGTCTGGATCAGGTGCGCCATGTGACATTATCGGCTACAGTGAACGCCCCCTAGCCAAACCATGTGTGTGTGTGGCTAACAAAGATCGCCGCCCACGCCTAGATCTCGACATCCCGGGTCGATTTCGACGTCGAGCAAGTCTCTGTGGCCGTCTGATGAGAAGATTGCTTTGGTGCCAAGAAAAGGCCAAAGACTTGGGGCCTAGGGTCAACCAACAGCAGTGTCATCTCTTCAGTGTTTTTCTTCTTCTTTTGAAATGGCCATCTCTTTCAGCGGTCATTAAAACACAGGACCCTCACACCGGCCATTTTGAAAAGACGCCACCAAATAATCCCATCATGGCCCTTTTCTGGTAACAAAGAAAAAGAAAAGGATACACTTGTGTATTACCGTCAGCACGTCGATCAAGTCACTTTTGCTTGTCTGAACTGTGAAAATGACCTTGGATGGATGAAATTTGTTCCCCCAGTCACTTTTGCCTGTCTGAACCCTCTGCATTGACCAGCGTGCTCCTGAATCTGGACTGTGTGCTACTGTCCGTGCACACTCAGTTTTAACCGTTCGTTCGAGGATGGAATATCTTTCTTGGCATGCATCTCTGCCTGGTGATCTTCTTTCTTCTTCCTCTCGCTCGTGTCTCCGCCGTCGTTTCCGTGTCCGGATCAGGTGCACCATCTCCCAACTGGCTCCAGCGACCGCCCCCTAACCACGTGTGGCTGAGAAAGATCATTGGCCACGCCAGATCTCGACATCCTGCGTCGATCTCGACGCATTGTGGCCTTCTCATGACAAGTTTGGTTGGGTGCCAACTGCCAAGAAAGGCCCAAAAATTGGGGTCCAGGGTCAACCAACCGAGTGATGGAGGACACACAAGCTGGTTTATTCAGCTCATTGTGGCGTGTCCCTAGTTCATTCAGGTTGACAGGGACAAGACGTTGGAGCGCTACTATTTTGTGTCAGTTGGTGCAGATAATTACCATTTGTAGCTGTGTACACCCACAATTAGGCAGGGCTCCGGCCAATCACCTAGAGAAAATAGCCCACGGAGACAGTTTCTCCTTAACTTTCGTTATATCTGCCTGTTTCGAAGCTGGTTTTAGTTTTAACTTGGTTCTTTTCTCTGTTTTTCAGGGCATTGAACACTCTGCTTCCAGTTCTGGACCGTGCCCTCGCGCCGTGCACAATCAAGTTTCTCTTCTTCCTTTTTCGAGGTACAGCCAGGTTTATGTGCAATTATTTATCATGCCAGTCTTCTCAGGAGGTGTCCATTTAACAGCCATCCGATGTTATTTCTCTGCAATCTGCCACGCTAGATCCAGCGGACCGTCTTGCATACCATGCGTGACCAGGAACCGGCCACGCTAGATCTCGACATCTCGACGTCGAGAAAATCTTAGTGGCCGTCTTTTGAGAAGATTGCGCGCCACGGAAGAGGCCAAAGACTTGGGGTCAAGTCAACCAGGTGAGCAATGAAGGATGCCAAGCTGATTCAGCGCATTGTGTTGTTAATTCAGTTTGACAGGGACAAGAAGGCATTGTACCGTACCTATTTTGTGTTAGTTGGTGGGGATAACTTTTTTGTCTGCCTAGTTGGATATGGTTTTGGCTTAGCTTAGCTCTGTTCTTGAGGATGGGGTGGTAACTTTCTCAGGTCAATCTGTGTAGCTCGCTCACCAAGAGTACTGTGCCTCAGAAAATAAATTCCTAATTGCAAAAATGATCTGAATGAAAGGAAATGTTATTCTCAATTTCACATGTATCTGAATGCTCGGCGTTGACAGGTGCCCTTGTGGAGTGTCCTGTCTGGACATACGTTCACACCTTGGGCAGAGAGCGACGCGGCGGCTTTCGATATCTAGACTGATGTACTTGTACTACACAACACGTAAAGGTGAGACTCTTTTTTTTTTTTTTTTGCGGGGTACGTAGGTGAGACTCAATCTGTAGTTTCTCAATGTTCAGTTAGTTATCACTCATCACACATAACATTATCCCAGTGCATATAGAGGAGGAACTATCTACGTCTCATCGAAGTATTAGTAGTAGTTGTATAGATGGCCTGAATGGAACGAGGTGTCCTT